ACTGGAATTCAAAAACTAGGATAGATCGGCTGCAGTGTGATTTAGATAAAGAAAGTTCCAAGCAATTTCCTATTTATGGTATGATGCGACGGTTAAGACAAGAATTGGCTGCGGCTTATAGGGAAGAAGAAATTTTTTGGAGACAAAAAAGTAGGGAGGAATGGTTAAGGGAAGGAGATAGAAATACAACATACTTTCATAATGTGGTGAAGGGGAAAAAAATGAGGAATAAGATTTTGATGCTCAAAGATATATTTGGTAATGAACATTATTCTGAAGGTTCTAAAGGACACATTGCAACCGAATATTTTAGGGATTTGTTTACAAGCTCCAACCCGATTGATTTGGAAACACTATTTGATGGATTTGATACTAGGGTTACCCCCGCGATGAATGCATTATTAATCAGGGAGGTAACTTCTGAGGAAATCAAGGATGCTGCTTTTGGTATCAAAAGTAGTAGTGCGCCGGGAGAAGATGGACTTACGGGTTTTTTCTATCAGAAATACTGGCATATTGTAGGACAGAAAATTATTCAGGATGTTCAAAGTTTTTTTAAAACAGCAAACATGCCTGCTGGATGGAACCATACGCAATTATCCTTGTTGCCTAAAATTTCGAATCCTACGGAAATGAAGGATATGCGTCCCATTAGTTTGTGTAGTGTTCAATATAAAATCATTTCTCGTATTCTTTGTGAGCGGTTGAAGATGGTTTTGCCACATATAATATCAGAAACTCAAGGGGCTTTTGTGGGAGGTAGGTTAATTACGGACAATGTCATTATAGCACATGAGCTGGTGCATACACTTCGTACAAATGATAAAATTGGTAAAACATGTATGGCTATTAAAACAGACATGTCAAAGGCTTATGATCGGGTCGAATGGAATTTCCTAGAAGTTTTATTAGAAAAAATGGGATTCCATAGAAAATGGGTCGTCTGGTTAATGTCCTGCATCACTACTGTCTCTTTCTCAGTGTTACTCAATGGTCGTTCCCATGGGTTTATTAAACCAGAACGAGGTATTCGTCAAGGGGATCCTTTATCTCCTTTTCTATTTATTTTATGTGCTGAAGCTTTAGTTCATGTTCTAAATAGATCGGAAACACAAGGAAAATTACATGGTATAAAGTTAGCAACGGGTAGTCCTTCTGTGCACCATTTGTTGTTTGCGGATGATAGCTTGTTGTTATGTGAAGCCTCTGTCGGTGACAGTCAAGAAATTATGAACGGTCTAAAATGTTATGGGGATGCGTCTGGACAAATGATTAACCCTTTGAAATCTTCCATCATTTTTGGGAAAAAAATAGATAATGTTAATAAACAGATGATCAAAGAGGCTTTGGGTATAGAAAAAGAAGGTGGAGAAGGTTCATATCTTGGTCTCCCTGAATGTTTTCAAGGTTCAAAAAAGGCACTCTTAAATTTTATCAAGGATAAATTAGAAGGTCGGTTACAGGGATGGTATTCTAAAACTTTGTCAATGGGGGCAAAGGAAGTTCTCATAAAATCAGTAGCCTTAGCTTTACCGATATATGCAATGTCTGTCTTTAGGTTACCAAAAGGTCTATGTGAACGGATTACGAGTGCGATAATAGAGTTTTGGTGGAGCAGTGGGGATAAAAAAAGAAAAATCCCTTGGGTTTCGTGGGAAAAATTATGTAAACCAAAAGATCAAGGTGGACTTGGGTTTCAGGACATTGGTCGTTTTAATCAGGCGCTGCTTGGAAAACAAGCTTGGCGAATATGGGATAATCCAGATTCTTTGGTTGCTCGGATCCTTAAAGGTAAATATTTTAAAAATGGGAATTTCCTAGATTGCGGAATGGGGACACGTCCGTCTTATGCATGGCGGAGCATCATGCACGGAAGAGAATTACTTAAAAAGGGTTTATATCGACATATTGGTAATGGTATTGACACTAATGTTTGGGCTGAGAATTGGATTATTGACACTATTCCACGACCACCAATGTATCGTGAAAACAGTTCTGTTAATTTAGCACTTAGAGTTTCAGATTTGCTCAGGCCGGGGTCTAACCAATGGGACGTTAATCTGCTACAGCAGACTTTTACGCCTCAGGATACGGAAAGGATACTACTTTTGAAACCATCATTGGTAGGTGATGACTCTATCAGATGGAGTTTTACACCAAATGGTGCATATACGACGCGAAGTGGTTATAAATTGTTAGAGGCTTTGGTGGATTACGATCACCCTCACAGG